GGGGGAAAGCGTGGCTTGACGTGTGTCAAGCGTGACACAGACGGATGTAACGGAGAATCCGGCAATTTTTCAAAATAAAACATCTTTCGTATTCCGAAATAAAACGGAATTAAGGCAAGTTCTTTCTGTGCGGCCCGGTACCAAATGCCCTGCGGACCGGTACCGGTCCGCGGACCGGCGGTTGGGGACCCCTGGTATAGAGGACGATGCGGAGGCTCAGAGGGGATTGAGCCTTTTCTGTGTATGGTCACTCTCTCTGGAATGACCTCCCACTGAACATTCGGCAAGCCCCCTCGCTGCACATCTATAAATCTCAAACCTTATGGCCCATGTCCAAATTTCATGTCTTTTCACAAATCAATAGCATTGGGGTCAGTCTCCATGTGCATCTGTTATTTTTCGAAATGATTCAACAATCTAAACTGGCTGAACAAACCTGCCATTATTTTTTTCCCTGAAAAGTGATGGTTTTTGGAGATGTAGGGATTATGCCCGACGCCAGCGATACAGTACATGCCAATTAACAAAAATACTACCCACATTTCTTTTGGTGAAACGATCATCACACACCTCGACCACATTATGCAAAAGAATAATGATAAAACAGTCAGTTGATTTCAGTTTGTACTTTGTTGGTGCGATTTTCTGGAATAAATATTTTTGTTATTGCACTTTGTCTGAGCCTTTGTTTTTGGAATCATTTGGTTCGGTCCTGAACCTGACTGTACAGTTTGTCTATCTGTGTTTATATTTGATTTTCTTTTTGCTTTGTTGTAGTCTGCTGTCTGCTCACTGGTCAATGTTGCAAATGACAACCTGTTCTCCATCGCCTCACCTGAATAAGTCAAGGTTAAAAAAAAAAAAAAAAAACAGAGTATCCTACTGTATGTGCTGACACTCCTTTATCAACATCCTCTGACTTCTGAGTAAATAGGTGGGGACTCTTTGTCATTTACTGTATACATTTTATTTCTTCAAAATGCTTGAATCACAGTTGACTTTTCAGCAATTTCTTTCCACTGCCTGAAAAGCATGAGGGAGACAGTAGGTGGGGGTGGGGGGGGTTGCTTTTGCAATGGATACTGTTGAAGGGGAGACCGACAGGAAGTGAGGGAGTTTGCCTTGTGTTCATCAGAGTTTTATGGCTGTCTAAGTTTAGATGTTGGCTCAAACTCAGCCTCTCAAGTAGCAAGGCTTGTGGGTCAGCACAACCGCTCCACATGGTGACAGAAACAGACAGAAACAGCACTCTCACAGTAAACTTTCAGAGGGAGACAATCACGACGTTGAGAGCCATGAGGGTACTTTGATTCCAGATACAACATAAAATGAAACATCTCAACTAGCAGACAACACAACTGAGGAGAAGAACAGTCAGGACTTTTCAACCTTGCTATTCCTCTTGCACACATCAGTGTCACGACTGACAATGAAAGATGAGGCAGAGCTTAAGGACCTTTCCGGATCTTCAGCGCAGCAGATTCCACATTTTCTGCAAGATGTCGTGTTCCATGGCAAATTTGAGGTGAGTGTCAAGCACACAAAATTTATGTGTCCATCATTTTTGACATTCTTGAGGTGCTCACCCTGATGCGTGATGATACCCATCCCGTTTTAATCAGATGTATGTTAGTCCTGATTGGTAAATCAATGTACCCACATTCTTGTTAAAGTGAAAGCATGTATTGTAATGTGTACAAGTAGTAATTCAAGACAAACTATTATCACAATTAATATCTGAACATGGATTAATAAGGGTAAACCCCTGTGCAATGCAGGTACACTTCATGTACACCTGACATGCGTTGTGTTGTAAAAACGAATGCATGCCACAGGTTTAAAACCCATGCATGGCATGCATTTGTTTTTGCAACACAACGCATGTCAGGTGTACATGAAGTGTACTTGCATTGCACAGGGGTCATCCATCCATCCATCCATCCATCCATCCATCCATCCATGTCCGAATCCTCTCATCTTTACGAGGGTTGCAGGTGTGGGTCTATCCCAGCTGTCATCGGCGAATTGGCAGGGTACACCTTGAAGTGACTGCCAGCCAATCACAGGGCACACAGATGAACAACTATTCGCGCTCACAATCACACCAAGGGACAATTTAGAGTGTTCCATTAATTTGCCACGCATGTTTTTGGAATGTGGGACGAAATCGGACAAACTCCACACAGCAAGGCCTAAGCTGGAATCGAACCCTGCACCTCAGCACTGTGAGGCGGGCGTGCTAACTATTCATACCACCGTACCGCGTGATATTAATCATGTCATTCAAATACAGTATGAAGTCACTGCTCATGTAAATGATTTCTCATGGTAAGCAGATAACAGAAATATCAATATAGAACATTTTATTTCGATAATTCTTCCCAGTGTTCGCATCTTTAAAATGTTTATTTATTTATTTTTAAGAACAGGCTGTCGTGTTACTCATGTGGCCCTTGGGGGGGGGGGGGCTACTTGGTGCTCAAGGGACACTATGTTGTAGACCCCTGCGTTAAAGCATATTCGTGTTGTGAGTCACAAAACCTCGTAGTGCTTTTCAGAGGCATGTATAACACACAGCTGTGTGGTGTCTCTGCCATGTGGCACTTGTTGCATGTGCTGGAGTACAAATTGAAAAGTATGTGTTTGGTTTGAGAGCAAGATAAAGGTTTTGAATTCCGAGGGGGGGGGGCACACAGCACATTACTCCTGCGTCTTATTTCACCAAATAAAATAATTTTCTTATGAGAGCTCTACTCCTCTGTGCAAGTAATTACTGTGTTCTAAATGGGTGGAGTACCTTCGTTCGCGGAACTTCGAGGGAGGATTAGTCATCTTTCTTTCGTGTTGCCAGAAGTTAAAAGTGGGAACATATACTGGAAGTGATCTCAGAAAACATGACACCGATAGTGACAGACACGAGTGACAAATCTTTGAGGTTTTTTTTTTCCTCGCGATTTGCTCTGACTGAATCAAAGAAACTAAATAGCTGCAGTTTGTCAAAACAGTGCAATCCAATCCCGTATGTTTCTCTTGTCTGCTTGATCATTAATACAGTCTCAACTCAACTCATATAGCACTTCCACAACAGCTGCAGCTGTAACAAAGCGCTTTGCAGAGTATAAAACATTTACAACGATACAATACTAACAAACCAACAAAATTAATTCCTACATACACTTTGTTCCCCGTTTAGCCTATTTAAAGGGAAGATGCGAGGAGGTTGTTCCTTATTATGACGGTTTTTCTCAGTCGCTTTGGTACATTTCTCAAATTATTCTTGATTTCTCCAAACAATTCGTTCAAACAGCAAAGCAACATGGATTATTTCCTTTGGAAAACTGTATATGCAGTGCTGTAGGAATTCCACTCCAGTCTTCATACATAGGATGATCTTGGTTTTTGAACCACAAATATTTATCCACGTCCTAGCAAATACCTTTTCTAACTTTGAGCTATTTCAAAAACCTGGCTGATTATTGCATGGTTGATCTAATAATGTTTCCCTTCGTGAGAGAAAGTCAAGATTTACCCGGGATAAAAAGTCTAAAGCAGGGGTGCCCATTACGTTGATCCTGATCGACCGGTAGATCTAGGACTCGTCCCAATTAGATCCGAAAGGTGTAGAGGAGAAAAAAAAAACCATTTGCGTGTCTTTGTACATGTTAGTAATATATTTTTGTGTTAATGTACACTGCACCCTAATCATCCTTTCAGTCTCATTTTCCCCAAAAAATATTTTACAAATAAAATAAAATAAAGCAGGTAAATCTTTAACCTACGGTGGCGCGTGACCTACGTCGGCGGAAGTTGTTAGCGCTCAGCAATCTGCAATTGCAGCTTGTGATCAGAGCTGTTGCGCTATATCTTTGATCATCATTATTCTCATTCATAGTTTGCTTCGTGTACAATTTACCGAGGGCACGGGCAAAGAATAGGAATCTAGAGCACTTTAAAACGGTACGTGTGAGCTACGATAGTCAACAGGCTGCAAAAGTGCATCGCTTGCTTCCGTGTTTGGCTTATCATCGCGCACGTGGGTGTGTGTGTGTGTCTGTGTGTGTGTGTGCGTGTGCGTGCGTGCGTGCGTGCGTGCGTGCGTGCGTGTGTGTGTGTGTGTGTGTGCGCGCGCGTGCGCGTGCGCGGTAAGGGGCGATCCCGGGAGGTTGGTTGAATGAAAAGTCGAAAAAGTTTGGGCACCCCTGGTCTAATTGAAAGAAATAGAGTGAAGAAATATGTTGCACATAATTATGACAAGGCGGCCCGGTGTGCAGTGGTTAGCACGTTGACCTCACAGGGCAGAGGTACTGGGTTCAATTCCAGCTCTGGCCTCCCTGTGTGGAGTTTGCATGTTCTCTGCGTGGGTTTAATCCGGTTTAATCCGCGTACTTCGGTTTCCTCCCACATTCCAAAAAACATGCATGGGGGATAAATGGAACACCCCCTTAAATCAGAATCAGAATCAGAATCATCTTTATTGGCCAAGTATGTAGAACACACACGGAATTTGTCTCCGGTATAACACGCTGCATTAGTATCATCATAAACAAGGACATGACAAATAGGTATGGAAGGACATTTCGTAATGTAAGTGAACCGTAGTGCGGTGGTACCACCCAGTGACAACTGTGAGACAATGTGCAAAGTATCAAGCAGAGCTAAAGTGATCAGTGGTGGAATACAATACTATGACAGTTGTACAGTTGGTGCATAAAATCATTGAACCATTTTAGAGTGACCAGGAGCAGTATTTGTTGTACAAGAAGAGTGACTACGTCAGTGACTGTTTAGGGAGTTCATGGCTAGAGGGAAGAAGCTGTTTAAGTGTCTGCTGGATTTGGTGCGCATGGTTCTGTAGCGCCTGCCTGAGGGGAGTAGCTGGAAAAGGTGGTGGGCAGGGTGCGGGGGATTCAGGAGGATTTTGCGTGCCCTTGTTTTGCTTCTTGCAGTGTGCAAGTCCTCAAGAGTGGGTAGGGCGGGGCCAATGATTTTTTCCCTTGTGTGAGTGTGAGCGTGGATGGTGGTTCGTCTCTGTGTGCACTGAGATTGGCTGGCAACCAGTTCAGGGTGTCCCCCGCCCATTGCCCGAAGACAGCTGGGATGGGCTCCAGCACCCCCCACGACCCTTGTGAGGATAAGCGGATCGGAAAATGGATGGATAATTATGACAACTTGTTCGACCATTTTGCATGTAAATACTAATGTGCTGAACTCATTCCAAAATGTGTGTGTGCTGTGTGAGACAATTGAACAATTATGACACATTTTGATCAACGTGACACCGGCAATTGCTAATATAGGAAAGTGGAGAGATTTATGCATGATTATTTGCATGGATGTAGCAAAGCATTTCAAATGAAGTAGAAACTGTTTTTTGTTTGTTTTTTGATACACACAAGCGACACCATGACGTGAAGACTAAAGAAGTAGTTTTGAGAATTTCAATTCCAATCGAGGAAAAGTACCAAAGCAACTGAGAAAAACTGTATGCAAGCCGAAGATGCACACGGTATGTGGAAAAGGAATAACAAGAATAACTCATCGGGCCTGACTTAGGACAATCTCAAATAACACAAAAGTGCATTTTCACTCTGACAGATTGCCCCCGCTACTGGTGATCCACCAAGATTGTGGCCTTTTAGCCCCAAAGACCCCAAGTAGTGGATGCGAAACTGCGTGGTCACTCATTCTCACAGATGATGTGGGCAACAGGTTTAAATGTTGGAGGTGGAGGCAGCCATATTTAAAACATTTTTGTTTTTTTTTGCTGTGGGTAACGCTGATGGCTTTTACTGTGGAACAAATGGGAGAGCGCTAAAGTGTACAATGAAGTTTGAAGCGATGGAACTGAAAGATAAACAAACATGTTACTAACTTAGCGAAAAGAAATAGGTCACTGATCATTTTGGCGAATCCAGCAACTGCATCACAGCCATGTTTAGTCAGAACTCATCTTGAGCACCTATCCTAACGTAACATTGCATTGAAAACTGGGGACAGCACGCCCGAAAGGCTGCTCTGACAGAAGCCAGCACCAAACAATTGTCACATTGTGCTGAAATGACGCAGGCGCAAGGAAATGCAGAATTTTGTCGTACGGGAATGGCTCCAAGACAGCTCTAAGATCATTTGGAAGCTCCAGAGTTGCATATGCTTCTAAAGTGTAATTGTCTTTATTCATCAATATTCTGAAGAGAAATTGTGTTATTTTAGTCGTAAATACAGTAGTTCATTTGTATCTTTGCATAGCCAGAAAAACTTTTCAGAATATGATTCATTTATTAGTAGTGGCACCTATTTTTTTTCGACACCCTCCATTCTCATTCTGCCAACCTTCGACCTTTTTTTAAAATTTTTTTTTAACTGGACTAGTGAGCCATTTCAAATGTCATTTTTAGTATATGCCACAGGCCACTGAAAAATTGATGGCAGGCTTCATATGGACCCCAGGCTGTAGTTTGGACATCCGTGATATAAAGCATGAGGATAGGACGGCAGTGCACTGTACCAACTCCAAGGCACAATTCATCCATTCATCCATCCATTCATTTTCTGATTCACTTTAGCCTCACAAGAGTCGCAGTGGGTGCTGGAACCTATCCCAGCTGTCTTCGGGCAGTAGGCGGGGGACACCCTGAACCGGTTGCCAGCCAAACACAGGGCATACAGAGACAAACAACCATCCGCGCTCACACTCACACCTTGGGACAATTTAGAGCAGGGGTGACAAACTCATTTTTGTTGGGGGCCACATTGTAGTTACGGTTTGCCTTGGAGGGCTGCTGTGAATTTTGGTAAACCATATAGAGGTACATGTAAATGTTTAATCCCCTCCACATATTACATACACAAGCGTACAACAAATTGATGAATAACTATAGTTTTAAAATCAGAACTTAAGAATAATGACTGTCATTGTGGATTACTTATGACAATTTGAAATTTTGATTCACACTTTAGCAAGCATCATGGAACTTGACATGCTTAATTTGCTTTTGTGGACCGCATAAAATGATGTGGAGGGCCCCCGGGCCTTGACTTTGACACCTATGATTTAGAGTGTTCAATCAGCCTGTCATGCATGTTTTTGGAATGTGGGAGGAAACCAGAGTACCCAGAGAAAACCCATGCAGGCACAGGGAGAACATGCAAACTCCACACAAGAAGGTCGGAGCCAGAATCGAACCCTGAACCTCTCCACTGTGAGGCCGACGTGCAAACCAGTCGGCCATCGGGCCACCTATTATTATTATTATTATTATTATTATTATCCTGATCCAGTTTATTATAATTGTTGTAATATTCTTCTTCTTCTTATTATTATTATTATTATGAAAACCTGATGTGCTAGAGACAAATGAAAGTAGGAATCAACACAAAAAAAAAACTATCTGGAAAAACTCACTTGCATCTCTGATTAGTCCAAATTTGTCGACCAGTGTAGCCTGTGTTATTGCAAGTAACTTTTGTGGCTCTTATAACCTTAAACCTAACTTGTTGACATTAGCAATGTGTCTTTAAAATTGTTTTCATTGTAACGGCCCTGCAGTTATGGGTCACAGGACCTAAAATGCTGTTAAGACTTAGGTACATTTCGATGGTCTGTTAAGCAATGAATGTAAACAGATTAAGACCTGAATCTGGGATTGAATAAAAAAGCCGGGGGTGTGAGTGGATTGGATAGCGGCGAGCCTGTGTGTGTATATGGAAGACAGCAGAGAGTGAGAGCAGACAGCAAAGTTATGTGTTGTTATTTTTGGGAGTCGACAAAAAAAATTCTGTCAAAAACAAAACAAATGGCACAATATGTTAGACATGCTGAAGCTGACTCCTTCCTGTTTTAGCCAAACAAGTCGCAAGTCCTAAAAGTAGCAACTTATGACTGACTCTGGTCATATGACTTGAGTCCCACAATTCTGCTCGCAGTGACCTCAATATCATACAAAACAGCCCAAAAATGGGTGTGGCATGTTGCTGTAGCTTGCATATTTCATACAACTAAAACAGCTTGGTGTCCAAATGTCGCTTGAGAACACAGATGCATAGCGCATTTGTAAAGGGCATTGATATCTTATGCGGCATTGTGTGAACATTTATTCCCATTAAATTGGGAAAAGTAATCAAAGCAAATAAATGACTTAACTCATTGATTTAAACATTGATTCCAGGTCAAAATTATGAGAAAGAGATGGCTCTGTTTTTAGAAGTGCTAATACAATTGTTGCAGAATTTCTCCAAGATAAGGTTCTCTACATCTATAGCAAGACTTCAATAATTAATTAAAGCAGCTCCAGTCATATTTGTGAAGCATTCAAAAAAAAAAAAAAAAAAAAAAAGTAAAAGCACCAACACATTTTCTTCCAGATGCTTTTGCCACATCCCAAATGCTAAATCTTTCGCATTGTCTGTCTGTGTCTTGTACATGTTGTCAGCTGCTGAAGACTCTTACCCCAGAGGAAAATGGCCATTGTCAACGTGGCCTCTACTTTCAAGATGGTCAGCGGCACGTGGACTACGTTCTCACCTACGCTTTGAAGAAATCGTCTCCGGGACGTTCCATTCGCTACTCAACACATTTGCTGACGGAAAACGCTGTTGCCCGCAGCCTGCGCCGTAGCCATCAGCCCTCATCTACTGAAAAAGGCTCGTTATCGTCACAAACCTCAACGCTATCCAATGTGGATCTACACTCTCCGGGAGAGCACTTTAGTGGCCAGGAGGATCAAAAAAACTTCAGGAGAGAGGAGTTTGAAGGGAAACTTCGAGATATGGGCCTGGAACTGGAGATTGATGAGGACGTGAGTTTTATCATCTTTTTTATTTGTCCTGACTATAAATGTAATTAATGATTTCAAATGCAACCAAGTTATGATGTCTGTAGAGTGGCATTCATATCAGAGTAGTTCTGTAACCCGATCTGGTGGCTATGTATAACCAATGTCCTCATGTGTGACCCAATTCTGCAGCACTTAAATAGAAAAGGCAGTATTGCTTACTAACTCGGTTGGCCTGAAGAATCAGAAACCATAATACTAGATTCATAGTGTCCGCTCGAGTGAATGACTCACAACTTCTTGTGCATGTAAAGATGGCCTGTAACGTCACGCAAAGGGAGAACAGAATGACCCCCTCTTGGGAAAGATCTGGAAACTTCTGCTTGCAAACAGGAAACTGCTTGAAGCAAGTTCCCACGCTGTGTCAGAGTTACACTCAAAAGGCTTCAATAGGACCCCAAATGTTTTTGTTTTACATACTGTCTATGATTATGTATTGTTGGATGTGGATTAGATTTATCATTTGGCTTGTGCAACTGGCAGCCCGCGGTTTCACGTTTACAACATGGTAAATGGTCTGTCGCTTATATAGCGCTTTTCTACCTTTGCTACTCAAAGAGCTTGATACTGTTTTTCTCATGTTCCTACTGATGCCGCGGTATTAGGAGCAACTGGGGGTTCAGTCCCTTGTTCAAGGACACTTCTACAAATTTCCAATGGCTGGGGATTGAACTCCCAACCTCTGGATTGGGAGACTACCACTCTATCACTGAGCCGCACCGCCAAGCTTGCAACCGTTCTTCAATAATGTACCAAGATGATTCCTGAGGTACAATGAACCTGAGTACTTTGGAAATGAATAATGGTCATTCTCACAGTGCAGAGGTGCAGGGTTCGATTGCGGCCCTGGCCTTCCTGCTTGGAGTTTGCATGTTCTCCCCATGCCTGTGTGGGTTTTCTCCGGGTACTGCGGTTTCCTCCCACCTTCCAAAAACATGCATGGCAGATTAATGGAACACTCTGCGATTGGCTAGCAACCGGTTCAGGGCGTATCCCACCCTGTGCCCAAAGAGAGCTGAGATAGTCTCCCGCATGCCCTGCGACCTTTGTGAGCAGTTCAGATAATGGATGGATGGATGAACAGCCATTCCAGCAGACAACAAATAAATGTTGCCGTGCTTGCATCAAGTGAATGTTGGCATGTCAACACGAACCATGGAAACATGGAAGTGCTGTGTTCATAGAGACCAAGCTGAGGTAGTTGGATATCACATCTTCACCTTTCGCTCTCTCTTTACGACCTGACACAAAACAGCAATTATTTAAATAATCTGGCCAGACCCGTCGCCAGACTTAACCCTAAAGGGTGTCACATGAATTGCATGGGGTGCTCCAAATATTATTAACACCCTAGAGACAGTACTTACTTTGATGCTGTTATACTAAGAGTTTAGCAGCACTGCCGCTCCCAGTCAGTGGTGATGAGTGGTGCCCTTTGCGACAAACACTAGCAAGTCCCGACGACATTTACAGTACATCTACATTGACCCCGCCCTGAGTATGTCGACGGCGCAGTCGTATAGGAGGTGGCAAAGTGAAGCGATTTGTGAAGATACCTCATTCAGGTGCTCCTTGGAGATGTATCATGAAGCCACCATCGCTTTTGATGGTTTGTTTCATTCTAACTCTATCCATCCATCCATTTTCCAATTCGTTTATCCTCACACGGGTCGCAGGCGTGCTGGAGCCTATCCCAGCTGTCTAGGGGCAGTTGGCAGGGTACACGCTGAACCCGTTGCCAGCCAATCACAGGGCACACATAGATGAACAACCATTCGCGCTCACAATCACACTCACACTTAGGAACAATTTAGTGTTCCATTTACCTGCCATGCATGTTTCTGGAATGTGGGAGGAAACTCGAGCACCTGGAGAAAACCCACGCAGGCAGGGGAAGAACATGCCAACACCACACAGGAAGGCCAAAGCCAGAATCAAACCCACGACCTCTGCACTGTGAGGCAATGGGAAATAAAAGGGGAAAAAGGCAAAGAAAAAATTAAATCAAGCTTAATTTTGATGTTTGAAGGGTTTTTGCATCCCATAATTTCTTGAAACGAGTTGAAAAGGCTATTTTGCAGACCCCAATGTAATAAGTACCTCCTTATATGCTGTACTCTTGATAGTGCAAGGGAGTCACATGAACGAGGAATATTGGAAATTTAACGTCGCCTAATGTTCGAAAATGGCTGTCACTAGTGCGGAGAGGATTTGTCAATTTCCTTATGGCCCTCCTTGGACAGGGGTTCTTTTATTTCTCCATAAAGTCGAAGAAAGACCCAACACCAAGCCATCTTTTCTGCAGTTTATCACATCACAATACAAATCGATTCGGGCTTCTGAGTTTCAGATTCAGGAAAAATCTAGTCACAAGTATATATAGAGACAATATGACCATGAGAGGTGGGCAGTTACACTTTCATGCAAATCCTGGAAACAAAGAAATTAAAATGTCATCTGACCCGCTTTGGCTAGAAAAGTTGGGAGTGGTGATGTGAGACCAGACCACAACTACCCCCTATTGCAGGCATGTCCAGCTCCAGGCCTGGAGGGCCGCCGTCCTGCCTGTTTTCCGTCTCTCCCGGCTGCAACACGCCTGATTCAGACGATCAGCTCATCAGCCAGCTCTGAAGCAGCATTAGAACGATCCTGCTTATTCAAAAATCAGGTGTGTTGCTCCTGGAAGAGCTAGAAAACAGGCAGGACAGCGGCCCTTGAGGACCGACTTTGGATACCCCTGCCCTATTGTCTTGACAGTTTCTTCCTGTAGAGGCGCTTGGTGTCTCTTAATGAGGAAAACGTTTGGTCTATAAAATCCCAAATATTAACAAGTGATTGCGGTTTTCTGACATTAAGCGACAAAAGCTTTTTTTATGCTTATGTTCAGCGAGACTTTCCCATGTGCCAGTCTACCACCGTGTCCTTCACTCTCGTTATTCATAAATATCGACATAGCCTATTTCACAGGCATGTCATGTCCCATTGTACAATGCTACAAAAAAAACAAAAACAAAAACAAAAAAAAAAACAACAAACCTGATTTGGACAAGAGTGATACTGGTTTGGCCACCATGTGCATTTCTGATGTTGCTCACCGTGGTCCAAGGAATACTCAGAGAGTTGGTGTGAATGCTTAATCGCATGGAAAATTCAAGGGAACATTGGTCTCAGTCATAACACATTTTGATACACTACCCTACAACATGCTCATCTGAGATGCTTATTATGAAATGTATTAACGTGTGCAAATGGAACTTGCCCGTGACAGTTTGGCTCTGTCATAAATGAGAGAACATTTTTTTGGTGAATTTTAAAAAATCAGGTTGAAGAAATGATTTTAAAATTGGTGTAATATGCTCCCACCTTCTGGTCTTCGTCAGGACAGGTCCTGCTAGTTGTAGTCCTGAAATACTGCACTCTTTTTGGGAGGACCAGAAAATTGGGGCATTACAATAACCCATCTGGATGATGATAAAATCATGCATTTGTGTCTCTGTGTTTGAGAAAGAATGGAGCAGCATCTGGCTATGTTCTTAAAGTGGGGGGGAAGAAACATTTTTGGGTTATATTTTCAATGTGTCGAATGAAAGTGGGAGGAACAGTGGCCGACAGCTGGACACACATCCCTCACAGTTCAGAGGTTATGGGTTCAAATATGGGCTCTGGGCTGCCTGTGTGGCGTTTGCACGTTCTCTCCGTGCCTGTTTTCTCTGGGTCTTCCGGTTTCCTCCCACATTCCATAAGCATGCATGGTCAGTTAAATGAAGGCTTGTCCATAGGTGTGGGAATGTGAGTGTGAATGGTTGTTTTTCTTTATGTGCCTTGTGACTGGCGACAAGTTCAGGGTGTACCTGGCCTCTCTGTAGAGTCACCTCGGATAGGCTCCAGCACCCTGGTGAGGATAAGCAGTGCAGCGGATGGATGGATGGACAGTGGCTGTCATTTGTTTTATAGTTTCTCCTTCTGGGATTCAGGACCAATGATTAAAACTTGAGTTTTGGCCTGGTTAAGAAAGAGAAAGTTCTCCGCCATCTGGGATTTGATATCGAAATGCAGAAAAAGAGCACGTTGGACTAGTGTCATCAAGACATATGGAGATGTACAGCTGCGAGTTATCAGCGCAGCTGTGGAAGTCCCCTCTGTGATCCCTGATGACACTGCCAAGGGGAAACAAAATCCCCCTTGGCAAAAGGGAATAAAACAAATAAATGGGACAGGGCCCCAAATTAATGTGACACACCATGTCATCTCATGGATTTTCAAGGAGCACGTATCTAAACTTACCATAAAAGTTCTGTCAGTGAGGTAATGTTTTGGTCATTCCTGGCAATTGTTGACTTTCTGTCCCCAGAATATAAATGGCAATATTTTATTAAAAGAAATGTCTATGGTGAAAAGCTTTTATTTTAGAATGAGGTCTACTTTATATTATGAACACAAAATAATGCATGCAAAATATTTCTCATTTTCTTTTAATTACCTTCTTTTTGATCATATACTCCTCTTTTACAATGTCCTCAAAGCAAATTTTCAGTTTCAATGAGTCATTTGTGATATAATTATAAAAAAGAAATGCACAGCATTTTCCACAGCAATTTCAGAGAGAGAGAGAGAGAGAGAGAGAGAGAGAGAGAGAGAGAAGAAAATGCGAGATAGTGTCAGTAATCAGCAAAACGGGTGCCCGTTAGTGACTGATGGACTGAGAGATCAGTTGGTGCTTGACCAGTTTAGTGATGATTAAACTGACCAGACCCATTTCTGTCAGTGCTTAGTCGGTCATTTTTTAAAACCCTTTCATGCACCAATAATGATCACCTGTAACCTGATAGGCTGTCCACTGTAGTAACTGCTGTCCATGAAAGGGTTGACGTTCCTGTCATTCATCAATCGTCAGCAAAACAGGGGTCCCCGACAGAGGGACCAATCGTCAGTGCTGACGAAATGCCCACCTGTTGGATTAAAACAGTGGTCCCCAAACTATGGCCCGGGGGCTGGATCCGGCCCACCTCTGCATTCGGTCCGGCCCCCCTGAAAATGACCACAGAGTATTTTGATTTATTTTTCATCTATGTGGATTTGAATTTGATCATAAAGTTGGGCTATTGCCATAAAATGTTCCTTAGTTTGCAACTATTTTCATTATTAACTTTTAATTAGTAACTATTTCATAAACACATATAATATAACGTGACATTTGTTGCATCTTTCTGCGGTCTGTGCCGTTATCTGGCAACCCCAGAAAAAAAATATATCCTAAACCCGCCCCTCTTGAAGAGAACGGGATCATGGCGAAAAGGTTGGGTAAGAGAAAAATAGATGCAGAATGCAGGGTATTTAACCCAAAGTGGACAAACGATGATATTTTTGTTCAACGCAAAGAAAAGGCTGTCTGTCTCATCTGTCAAGAGGCGGTGGTGGTATTCAAAGAATACAATCTGCGGAGACACTATGAATCCCATCACAAATACGAGAGCCTGCAAGGACAAATGCGAGTTAACTGTCAAAACTAAAAAGTGGAAATACATTTGTACGCCAAGCTTAGCTGAACCAGTCATCTGTTCGAGGTAGCTTTCATGTTGCTCAACTGATAGCAAGCAGCGGTAAGGAGAGTTTGTCAAGAAATGCATGAATGCTGTCGCGGAGGAGGTGTGTCCCGAGAAGAAAGACGTCTTCAATAGCGTGAGTCTATCAGCGAGTACAATCACCAGACATATTGAAGAAATCGCGGGTAATACTGTATATATGCCCAGCTGCAGCAGAAGACGAAAAAATTATTTTCATTAGCACTGGATGAGATCACGGACGTGCAGGACACAGCGTAACTGCTAATTTTTATTCGTGGAGTTAGCGCGAACTTTGAGATGTGCGAGGAGCTGGCAGCCCCCCAAAGTCTCAACGACTACAACGGGGGAGGATATTTTCGGCAAAGTGCACCAAACTATGGAAGCGTTAGACCTGGACTGGTCAAAGCTGGCCAGCAACACAACTGACGAGGCTCCAAGTATGGTGGGCGCGTCTCGGGGGTCTAATAGGACGCATGAACTGGAAGATGGAAGAACGGGGTTTCAAATTCACTGCCTCATACACCAGCAAGCACGCACTGTGCTGCAAAATATTGACTTGGGATTCTGTTATGAAGGTTGTGGTGTCATGCATAAACTTCATCAGAGCAAAGTTAATTATTTATTTCATAAATGTTGTAATTTATTTCCGAGCTTTTTTGGAGGGTTATTTAGTTATTATTTATTTCATTAACAGTCTTATTATGTATTTCCTGACTTTTGTTCTGTGAAAAATCCAGAAAAGGATATTTCATTTTGTGTGGATTTCTGGAAAACGAAAATTTTTTACATTTAGGCACTCTTGCAGTCACACTTTTTCTGTTACAAACTGACCCCAGCGCCCCATCACAGAAGCGAAAGGTTATGCGGCCCTCACAGGAAAAAGTTTGGGGACCAATGGATTAAAATAATAGACGGTACTTTTTTGGACGTGGACTGACTTGGGTTAGTACTACCAAGTACCGATTCACGTGAAATAAAATGGTGCCATGTTTCGCTCCATTCTAAAATCTGATGCGAGAAGACCTGTTTATTTTCGATTTTCCATGGTGCACATGAACGCAGCAGAGTCCCCACACAGACGAAATAATGTCGTCCACTCGCGCAGGTCTTCACACGCAAAAATATACATTTCCACTTTTGGAAGCAAGTCAGATTTGCCCGTCTCCAAATAAATATATTCAATGAAGTAATGTAGCAATGGTGAAGCCTTGTACTCCCAAGCATGCTTTGGTTGAGGGGAGTTTATGGTGCGCTATCGGCTGCGTCGTCCCCCTCTACTGGCACCTACACCGAGATGTCCGTCTTCTCCCACCGGCTGGAAGGTGCACAGCTATTTTCCCATGGTTACTTGTACTGTATATACATTGACCACATGTATAATTTCATAGGGGTGAAACAACGAAAGGTTGTGGGCCAAAATGTATCGCGATGGGTACTTTCAAAAAATGAATTTGACCCCAATTATTCTCTTTGTTCTTGTTCACACCTTCCACTAATTTACTCTTTCATTAATTTATGTAGTTTTTAAATATGCGTTGATTAAGCTGGTTTCGAACTGGAAGCCTTGCGTTCTTGAAAAACTGAACAAGGAACAAAGATAACACGAACACAAAATTGTTTATCGTTTTTTTTGTATTACCATTAAACTATGTTCCTTGTGTTCATTGCAAAGAACGTTACTTTACACGTAATTTTGTATCATAGTAATAATAATAATAATAATAATAACAGCTGCAATAGGCTCTAGAACGCTTGCGATCCTCGAGAGGAAAAGCGAATTAGAAAATAAATGGATAGACCGATAGATGTATTATTGTTTGTATGATTTGTTCTGTATTAATTGTATTGTGTTATACTTATATTCTACTTCATCCTCTGGTTCATTTGGTGTAAACTATTAATGTTTTGTTTTTAAGTCCAATTTTATATAGTGATTAATAACAGTTTAATTGAAGTTTTTAGGTTTTATTGTTAAACCTGAGCCTGCATCAGCGCTACCAGATCAACACTTGGCGGATAAGCGATAGCTGGAGCCTCAACTTTTCCACTCCCAAGTGTGAACCGTCAGTAGCAAGATGATTGACTCGATATCAGACTTGGCAGCTATCGAATACCCTTTTAACAACCGGTCTGACAAGCATGATTTTATTTCTACTTTGCAATTGTGAAAAGCATTCACAAAACATTCATCAGATTTGCAACTATCAAGAAATCCTCCTTTGTGGAGCAATCCAAAGTTTCAAGGGATGCACCCCAGGCAAACTCATTCAAATTCAAGAGCACTGTCATCCTCCATTTCCTCCACACACAAAGAGAGGGGTCCGGTGTATACATCAATTCTTCTCAAGTCACCCCGATGCCACGAACATGGGTTAATTCTCCTTACATTTACTGGTGTACACTTATTTTGCATGTGTTTACTGTTGGTACACTGTTGTAATAACATATTGTTTGTGTCTTGTTCGCCATAGTCCAAGATTCTAGGTGTGGGCTTTGTGAAAATTCATGCTCCTTGGAATGTTCTTTGTCGAGAAGCAGAGTTCATGAAGCTTAAGATGCCCACCAAAAGGGTAAGGATTCATGACACTTTCCATTGAAGTTGTGATTCATCAATACCAGGGGTGCCCGATATGTCGATCGCGATCGACATTAGCTCGTGTACTGGTACCAAGGAGGGGGTGTAGAGGGAAAAAAAAACTGTTTCTGTGTGGGTTTTATTAATATGATATATTTTTGTGTTAGTGCACACTGCACTCTTAGCATCTTATCAGTCTCACTTTCACAAAAATTATTAAAAAAAAATAAAAGAACATTTAAAAAGCGGGTCACCTTTAACCTACGGTGGCACATGACCTGCATCACCAGGAGTTGTTAGCAGTCAGCAGTCTGCAATTGCAGCTTGCAATCGGGGCTGTTGCGCTATATCTTTTCTTGTTATTCTTATTCTTATTCAGAGTTTGTTTCATGTACAATTCATCAAGGGCACTAGCAAAGAATGGGAATCTGGAGGGCCGAGAGAAGCATTTTAAAACAGTACATGTGAGCTACGATAGTTAACACGCTGCAAAAGTGTGTCCCATGCCTCCTTGTCAGGTCTCGACGAAGGTAGGCAGTGATTTGCTTTTCACAAACTCACAAACTTTTGTGTCTACTTTATCTTTATGTTTCCTTCATCATAGGGGCCGTTATGGCTGTTGCCCATCATGGCATGTATGTGCGCGTATGCAGTCACGGGTCGATCGTAGGAGGTTGGTTGATCAAAAAGTAGATCTTCGGTCAAAAAACATTGGGCACCCCTGATCTATAAAGATAGTTGTCAGTTTTTCACTAGTTTTCATGAACTGTGATAACCTTGCTCTGAAAAAGGTTAGCAGGGGAGCCAAATGATGTCTTCATGGACAGAATAAATTTAAGTGTGTTGTTTTTCCGTTTTTAGTCTGTGTGTGTGTGTGTGTGTGTGTGTGTGTGTGTGTGTGTGTGTGTGTGTGTGTGTGTGTGTGTGTGTGTGTGTGTGTGTGTGTGTGGGTGTGTTGTGTGCAAGCCCATGCACATACATGGACTTACAAATGGGTTTTTGTTCGTAGGTATATGAAGTCAAAAAGTCAAGCGGTGTTATAGAGAAGCTTAATTTACTCGTCAGTAAAGTTCTTGAGCCTCTTCATCCTCATGTTGAGGAGCGCCAACCAAAGAACATCAAACACCTGTCACACACTTTCTCCAGGGAAAAGCAACACCTGTAAGTACACTTTTTTATTTTTACATCTTAACATGTTTAGGTAGGAAGAACAATAAAATGAACTTCTGGTTCCATGCATTGCTCTGTTAGCTCTTTGGCCAATCTCGAGCAATCTGATCCTCTGTTTTTATTGTTCTGTATTCTTTATTTAGCTCGCATGATAGTTGTTGCTAAACAAAAATGCTTGGTTTTAGGTGCGATTGCTTCCAAACCAACCTGTGATAGTTTGCATTACCAACCCTTAGACTTGACCAGTGGTCAAATGAGAGAAAAATAACTAAACCTATACTGAAGATTACCATAAGAAGAACGTTTTGCGTATAATAGAAGACACAAAATTGCTTGCAGTTTAGTGAGTGTGAGTGGCTGTCAACCTTTATGTATCATCTTTATGATTGAGCAAAGGAATGTCAGCGCAGATTACCTCGTCCCCCATGATGGAAAGGTGTTTGTAAGTGTAGGATGGAGGATCTTGTCAATATTTGTGAAGAAGATCGGGGGCGGCATGGCTGAGTGGTTGAGTGGTGGTTTCCTAACCCAGAGGCTGATAGTTTGATCCATTGCGGCCATGTAAAAGTGTCCTTGAGCATGATACGAAATCCCCAGTTGCTTCTGATGCTGTGCCATCAGTAGGTGAATGAGAAAAAAACTGCGTGAAGGGCTTTGAGTACCTGAGGTAGAAAAGTGCTATACAAGTGACAGCCCACTTACCATATACGTATCTCGGTATTTTCATGGATGAAGCTGTCACTTCTTTTCCCAGACAACTGTGAGAGTAGGAAGAGGCTTCATGACAAGCTCCTCCATTGTGAATAAATGCTGTTAATACTGCCATCCCTCCATCCATCAACCTTCGACCAATTATCTGAGGTCGTGTCACGGGCGCAGCAGGTTTAGCAGGGAAGGCGGGACCAAATCACCAGGCAACATTGTGACTGGCTAGCTTGTTTAAGCCCGAAAATGATTTTTTTTGGCACTTCAGGGTGGTGGGGGTGGATGGAGTGATTTGACCGACATGCATCAAAATTGATTTGTTGATAAGGTAGCGCAGGACAGCTGATGTGTACCAAACTTATTCCTCAATGGGGAGTGGGAGGTTGTTGGGGGGTTGTTTTAGCTGGCCCTGATGCATGACAACTTCACCTGAAATGGAGTGGCAATTCGTAATGTGGGTGTCATTTGCTGTAGATGATGAGTACCTTCGGTGAGAAAACCGGTTGATCTATTACGTATTTTCCCAAAAACACATTTCAAACTATGACTGTTGGGATTTCAGGTGCGCTAAAGTGACTCTCTGTCAATATTCATTCATTTTCCTATCCGCTTTATCCTCACAGGGGTCACAACGGGTATTGGAGCTTGTCTTGTTCTTGGACTAGGTGGACTCAGGATTTTTGATCAAGAATGATTGAGACCAGGCCTGACCTTTATTGTGGCTTTTCAGGACAATTCAGTTTTTAAGAAGAATACGATGACATAATTTGTAGAAAAAGTGAAACAACAACTTTTCTTAGATTTGAGATTTATTTCATTGCAATATTTGTAAAACAACATCATAGAATTAGTTTTTGTTGCAAACATGAAGGGGAAAAAAGATACTGGTCATATTGTTCAGTTTCTTCTTTGTGATTTTTTTTTTTAGATATATACAGTCTTGGTCTTTTCTCGGTCTCAACCTCCAAAAGACTTTGTTGTGTCTCTGGCTTGAAACTCTCTCATCTCGATAATGCCTTTGTCATGTTTTGCGTGGTGGTAGTTGGAGAACCGGAAAAAGCAGGGAGGGGCAGGGTTGGCTGACCGAGATGTATTTAACAAAAAAATACCAACAGGAGTACAATGGAAAAAAACTCACTCAAATACTCAAAGTCCAAAAAAAAACACAGGAACCAAAGTAACAAAAACCTATGACACTAAACAAAACATGACAGGAGCACACTGACAATCACAGCTCACACTGTCCTTGGGCGGAGCTGGGGTTCTCCCTCTTCACTTGCCACCGCTGAGGGAATCCTTGTGAGTTTATTTTCCTCCGCTTAGTAATATGCTTAAATTTAGCAGGTCGTCTCATCTGATCTGAGGTCGTATTGGCCAAGCAAGATTTCTTGGCATGACGGGGCCTGGTGGGTCCGCTGGGTCCATTCTTGGCCAGTTCGTACTGTTAGGCTTTGCGAAAGATGAATACAGGACCCACACACAGACACAATGAACTCAGAAGGGTTTTATTGCCAGGAAGTGGGACAGGTCGAGGTGGCAGGAACAGAAAGGTATTCAAAATGACCAATGCAAGGAGTACAGGAACACAGGAGTGTAATGGCTTGGAATATGCGAGTAGGGCAGGAAAGATCGCTGACGAACTGGCAACAGGTGGCTGTTGAGGCTGGCTTTTATGCTGCAAATGGCTGATGAGATGAAGACTCGCAGTTGTGTAGGGGAGGCAGGTGCACTGATTAGGGAGGCGCCCAGCCCACACTGAAAAAGAGTAACAAAACAAAACAGAGGGGCGGCGCCATGGACAACCAATGTATTCTAACAGTCTTGGTCTCGGTTGGTGTGGTCTTGACCACACTATTAACTATTTTTCCAAAAAAGTGATTAGGGACTAAAAACTCCTCAATTCTCATCGTATTTCGCTTGCAGCACAGTGACTTTCCTTGCTGAGGACTTGGCAACAGTGGGGGTGCTTTTGTTGTGAAATGTTGATATTTTTGTGTGCTTCTGTGTGTCACCAGGTTTGACCTTTCAGACAAGGATTCCTTTTTTGACAGTAAAACCAGGAGCTCAATAGTAAGTCACACTAAGATCTGTCATCAATTATTCACAACTCCAGAAAACATCCAAGCATTAGTGCTTTCTGTTCTGAAGTTTTGACTGTGGATTCCATTGCGCCAAATAAGACCAAAGATGTCAGTAAGTAAAAAGTCACCATGGAGAAATGTCCCGCTGGTTAAACCTAAAAAAAAAGAGTATCTACACAAGTAGAGTGCAGTTGGCGCAAAACTAAACTACAGGTTCATTATGAGGTATACAAAGACAGTCTTCATATCTACAAGAAGGAATTGAAAAATGCCAGACAACCGTTCTTTTCAGAGGTGATCAATAGAAACAGTAATTATTGCCTATTATGGGTAACAAAAGGTAAAGACAGCAGTGGATCCAAGAGTGAATGGGAAGGAGGAGAATTGTACGGTCAAGTGGTCGCTGGAAGAAAACGCTGAGCCAGGCTGGGCAGGGAGGCACTCGAAATAGGCAGTCAAGATCAAATGGTGAGGCACAAAAATTCAAAATGGCAAGCGTGTGACAACACATCACAGTACCCCCCCCCCCAGCCCCCCAATGGCCGCCACCTGGAGGGGGAGATCCCGGAGGGCAGAGGTCGCTGAAGGAAACAATCAAATATACTGAACCCACAAATCCACTCTATATCAAATCAAACACACTGAAATTTTATGACTTGGTTAACTTTAAAATAGCCCAATTAATGTACAAAGTACACTATAACCTGCTCTGCAAAAATACTCAGAAGCTGTTTGAAATTCAGACTCGCTTGGGCTCTGGCGCCAGTCCTCTTGAGAGGGTTTGAACTCTCTTCCACTGTGGAGTTCCCAACATTGAGAGACATTTAGCAGGTGTGGGCATACTTAATGAACCCCGGCTTGGCACCTGTACCTTGGGGTTCACCCCAGCGGACAAGAAGACGGTGGTCACCAACCTGGCAGACCCACTTGGATTGTGAGGATTTGCTGGGAACATCTGGCAGAATCCCTTATCAGAAATACTGTAGTCTGAACTCCCACCTCCGGCAGAGCTTTTTACAACATCCCTGGGGAGGCAGGGACACTGAGTCTGAGTGGACAATGTTCAGTGCCTCCATTGTTGAGGCGGCCAATCGGGGCTTTGGTCATAGGGTGGTTGTTGTCTCTTGTGTGTCTCGCCAATCCCTGAACCCGCTGGTGGACACTGGCGGTCAAGGGTGCAGTCAAGCTGAAGGAGTCCTGTCAGGCCTTTTTGGCATGTCGGACTCTAGAGGCAGCTGACAGATACCGACTGGCCAAGTGGAACACAGCTTTGGCAGTCCCCGAGGCATGGGAGTTCTGTGAGGCCATGGGAAACAACTTCCGCTGGATTCGAAGAAATTTTGGTTTTACCATCCGCTTTATCATGAGGGGGAAGCAGTGCACCTTTCGCACGGTGTATAATGGCGATGGGGCACTGCTGACCTGGACTAGGCGTTGTGAGTTGGTGGGGAGAATACTTCGAAGACCTCCTTACTTCCACCGACAGACACACCTACCTTTGTGGAAGCAGAGACTGGAGTTTTTGAGGTTGACTCTTCCTTTTTCTGGGGCTGAGGTCACCGAGGTGGTTAAAT